GTGTTGTCACTGCTTATGACAGTTCAAAATGCTTTCACAATTTCCCTGCTTTGTTTGCTTATAGGACAGCCGGGACACCAAGGCCCACTATCATCGGATGTATTGGCTACAACAGACGAAATTTTCAGTAGGGAAGGAACGATATCAAATGGAAGTCTCTAGTATTCGCTCAGAAACTTCTGCTGTCACAATTTAGCATAAACTATGGCCACACCAGGAAATTTATCGAAGCCCTAGATAAAGGGTTCACAACATTCAAGTAACTCCAAGTTTTCTTTCCACGGCTATCGAAGTCAAAGTTCAAAGCTAGCATTTCCTTTGAACCACTGATAAAGAAGATAGATGAATGTGCTGAATCCGTAGAGAATTCGCACAGGTCGGCAAAAGTCGCTTGGCATAGGTTTATTGCAGTAGTTCACGGCTTCCTGGGTAATCGCAACGTTGAAAAATTTGAGCACGTAGTTAAGAATTTTATAGAGGACTATGCAGAAAATGGATGGTATAATGTTGTTCAAAATTCATTCTATTTTTGCTCCTCATTGGAGCAAGGTGAGCGTTCTCACTAGGACATACTGGATTTAGAAGTTCGTTACCAAGGACTGTAAGGAAAACTTGGTAAACGACTATGCTTGCGGCCTTCTTCAAGAAATCTATAAGCTACAACCCTTAACCCAGAAACTGTACACGTTTCTGTATGTATTTGCTATTCTGCCTATCGGTGTTTTTTAATACTAGTATGTGCTCTGCGTTTATTACACCTGGAATAAGAATTCGATGTAAACTTTGCTGGCTTCTGCTGTATGAATTCTAAACTTTTGTATTCGTTGGTCATAACAGGACATGCTATGATTTATATTGGAATCTTGTTTACGCCTTAAGTATTGGGAGTCGAAATATATCATAGAACGAGGGAACAAAATTTGTATTACAAAGTATGATTTACCGATACGGTTATGTGTGATTACATTACGGGTTTAAATCCCGATCCAGTCTTGAGTGGTAGAACACGAAAGTCCGCTTGAGTATTATTTGTCTCCGAACACAAGTAAAAGTGAATCACTGACGCTATCGTCTTCGTATTTAGCCAAACATTCCTTTTTCTTAACATATTCCCCTTGCCGAATATGTGAATTCATGACCATACCAAGTCATCAAAATGGGTTTTTCTTTGATCATTCTAAGCCAAGCATTGGTGTGGCAGAAAGCTTCAATGAATAGCGCAAGACTGCATTCGTGCAGATGGTACGACTCCTAGCAGTTTTCCAAACTACAGGACTATTTTAAACGCATAATCGACTGTTATTCGTCAAGAAATCAGTAGTTGCTTTAGGTATAAATTCTGTTCGTGAGCGAAACTAGCACTCTGAAATGCTGACAACAGCACAGATGTACAATTCAGTGTTCTGTCAAGAATTTTTATGCAACAATAGTTTGTGAACTTAGAAACCTAATAGATTTTATTCGCTGATGTGGCCACATTGCATTTAGAAAACCGAGAGGAATGTTAAAGGACGGTCACGTACACGTGTGTACAGACACCGGCTCAATGGTTAGCACAAAGGGCGTAATTGCTTTCCCATATTCCAATTTAAGAACCATGAAAATGGCGCTTTTACCGGTAGATCCATGTCTTTTTGGAGATGCATAATTTTGTGGTAAACATAGTGAACGCTTTGCTTCCCCTTTCACATGTGTTGTAGTTTGACACCGTCAATGTCACCAGCTAGTCAATTCCAAACAACGTTTGGTTTGGCATTTAGCTAAATGCGTGAATTCTGCTATTATACTCTTTAACATGTTACGAGTTTCTACTTAACCTGAAAAGTGGCAATTGCTCATAGGCATTTAAGCAATATTTCGTCCTATTGATGCCTAACATCAGTCGTCCGGGTTGGTCGTCTCTAAGTACTGTAAAGTATCTTCGATAACGAGCTCCAAAAAGCATTTGCATACACGTTAGACGATATAAACAAATGCTGTCATGGTTTCTTGTAGTAAATATTTTGCTTGTACATTGTTGTTTCCAGAGCTGGTAGTAGCAAAGAAATCTCGTGAGATTGTGTTATGCTCTCACGATTGTGGGCATTGTTTTCCAGACTGTTTATCCGAAACCCTACTACACAATAAACAATTCGAAACATAAGCTGCAAGAAGTCGTTTTCGTCGAACGTTAGGGTTTTTCTAATCAACAAAAGTTTTCCTGTTTGATAGTTGGAATTCTAGGATGCTGCCGCTAAGAAAAAAATCGTGGGCTATTTGCTATTTGAGTTCCGCATTTAATCCACACGTTAACATCTTTCACAGTGAAAAGATCGTTATGGGTATGTTAAAGATATTAATTTGTCTGCCTTAAAATCTGGTTGCCTTTAGTTATTATCGAAACGATCCACTACATATGCTTAGCAGACAAAAAAAGCTACATAAGCACTTTTGAATGCAACACTTAAAGAGAATTGAAGCAGGGATTTAGATAAAATGATGGAACGGTGTTGCGGTGCATTGCCGAATGTGTAGCAGATGTCAGACCGGGGTGAATGTGATTAATCTCCGTCAAAATTCCACTCCATATCCCTCTTTCAACAACTCTTTTAGAATCAACAATTCCTTAAGTTAATTTAAAAGACCAATGGATAGTGGAAGTAGCAGTTCTGAGAAGCAACCCTATCCTTTGCACATTGGAGAGCCGCATGGTAGTGGAGGGTGAGATTGCATTGTATATATCAATTGCTAGTTAGCAGTAGCTGTAGCTGTTTGCCTGTGGTACAATCGTCTTGGCCATGACCTGGTATGAGTATAGCCACGGACTATAGTCCCGTGGAATAAAATACAAAAATGCTAATTTCCGAAGGTATGAAGTGGACGCGTTGTGCTCTCCCTGATTTGTAGTAGGTGTAGTAACAGCATACTAGCGCTTTTGGCTTATATTGTTCACTCTTTACCCTTACAGTACACTTCAGTAATTGAATTGCGATGTATTGAGCTTGGAAGTTTTAGCGCATAGGAAAAGTGCCATCAGTTTACTGTTTTATATCAGAGTAGAGCTGTTCATTTCCCCTTGATTAACGGCTAAACAAATGCAACCAAAGTGACAAACGTAGCGCACAGTTAAACCACTAACGGAACAATGCGGGCCACCAAAATTTGTTAACATAATTAAAGTTATGATGTTCAAGTGTCTTCTTTAAACATTCCGTTGGGTAACTAGGCACAATTCATATTTTTATTGGTAAGAAATTGACAAAGTTAAACACTGCACCACAAAATCTCTTCAGTCTGTGCCACCTAAGCGACAACAACACTTTACTACAGTCGCTTAAATTAAGTTGTTTAGAAGAGCTGCGGCACTACTCAATTGGATTACAGAGCTATAAAAGTTGTAGCAAGTTTTCAGAAAACCACTTCTTTTAATAATAAGCCATAAGAACTAACGCTACCCACGTTCGTTGCCTAAAACGTAGAACAACCAAACTCGCCATCAGAAACGAAAATAAGGGTATGATCAAAGTCGAAACAAGCTGATAACAAGGGGTCAATACAAAACAGATAAGGAACCACGTCAACCAACAGCAAGTGCTTGTCTAAGGTCAAGACACTATCAATCAGGCTATAACTATAACTGTCTTTGTCCCTGTAATGTGCTTACGCCTTCAGGTCTAATAGACTCTAGATGGCTACGTACGCGCTTATTGCTTTTCTTTTTTACTGAAGTTTGGTATACTCCAGCAGTTCAACACAACTGATTATGCTAGAAGTAGTCATCACCATAAAAACTTCAATGTAGACACTGCCAAGAAAAGATGCATTATTTTAGAAGCACTACCTCAACAATTCTTGATTCCAATTAGAATACAGTTTAGCTTGTATCAGGAACCACCTAGTGCTTATAAACTAGGTTTTAGCAAAAGACCCTAAAGTTTACATAATGTGTCGAGAATAGACATTAGGTTTCCTATGGGATCATAGTTGAGCTAGGTACTAAATTGGCGGGGTTAGCGATTTAGCGCCCCAGCCATTGGCAGTTAACTAGACTGGTGTGAGATACCACAATCGAACTAAAAATGTGAGGTGACCGTTTCGTAAGCCCAGTCATTCTGTAACTAACTCCGATTTCGCCAGCTTAATGCCCGGCTGCGTTCGTCACTGGCGTCTATATTTGCTTTCGTATGTAAGCCGCTCACTCACAAATCGGGGCTTTAAGATTTTACCTTATGTGTTACGATAACTCGAAATGATCCTAAATGAATAGGGTACCTATTACTGCAGTTTCATAACAGTGCTTCGTCCTCCCGCTCAAGACTGAACGAATGTTTTCGCAAACAAGATAGAAGGTCTTAAAGCGGCAGCGAATGGTACTCAGTTGATGGGATGAAGTGTAATATTTCCGCCAGATTGCGCTGAGCTTTGTTTACATCCAATAGAACTATGCAAGGAGTAAACTAAGACTTAGGGAAATCCATTTTCTAACGACTGAAATTGGACGCATAAAGTTGTCGTTGTTTGCTTACCAGCTGATGTGTCCACAGTAAAAGGTAACTGTAAGAACCTGTTCATTAAAATATCTATCGTTAATGAATGTTTAATGTCGTCCATTGCTTGTGGTTGGCTGCGCAAATCGGTAAGTTGTAGCCATCTGGTTGTAGACAAAAACCACTTATGATAATTGAAGTATATATATATATATACGTCTAGAATGCAGTTGTAAGAAAGACTTGTAGCACTTGATTTGGCGTATTATTAGAAAAAATATTTTTGATAACAAAGTGGACAGTTTATGCATCATATTCTAGAGTGCCTAAAATTCATCGTCTCAGAAGCTGAGGTCGAGGCAACCATTAAAATAGTGTAGCATGCCATGATAACGCCACTAAAATAGCTTAGCATCTTATTAGTAATAGAAGACTATGCTCACTAAACTGAGAATAAACCTGTTTACAAAAAATTAATGCTGACGAAACAAATTCCTAAACACCGAAATATACAAAATCTTTGGTGCTACTTGCCGTTTTGAAGCGCATCTCTAATATTGCGTACTAGTTTGTAAAATACTGTCGTTCCAAACTTTTATAGTATTCCGAATTCAGATAGCGACATTTTCCGTGAAATTGGTTGTCCGCATTATGTTAGCATAGAATCATTGTCATTCCACAGCGGTCAAATTTGTGCTGCTGTTGTCGCGACTCTAGCTCATCCTGATTGGTTAGTTCGCTTTACAATCAATTCTACCGCTCCTGTTAGCTGAATTATGGCATAGCAACTCATGGAATGCGCTCTGGCTTTTGATCTTTCCTACATAGACGGCTATTTTTGACTTCACAAGTTTTCGATGAAAACCTTTTATCGATGTTTCCTGCCTAATAAAATTGACTAAAGCAATTCATGGAGCTTTCCGGTATCAAGTTCGAACTGAAGGAAAATTTCAGGTGGTGGGACTTTATAATATTGTCAGTGAATAAGCCCAGATGTATAGCATTCCAGTTGAAATCTATCAATAACTAAAGGATGAAGGTTAATTTTGAAGCATCAACCTGTTTGACTTTCTGGCTGCTAATTTTCACAAAGAACTGAAAATTTCCTGTATTTGCTGACTTCATTGCACCATTCGGTTTATCTTTACAACTTTTGCATCCCCATTATTAATTACGGAGGTGTGAGCGGCCGGAACCTCTCCTCCGCAGCATGTATACCAACCAAAGTTTAAACTAGGTGCACAAAGCGTTAGATGGTGACGTTCAATTCTAGCAATCGTGCTAGGTTTGAGGGTCACCTAACACGGTGATGCTTCCGCCACGGTCCCTCTGGTCCACTTCCAAATTAATAACGAACAAAATGCCATTTAGTATAACATTCGGTTAGCTCAGCTAGCATTCTTTACTAATCGACTGTCAGCTACAAATCACTTTGCTCAATATGTTATCTCTCCTACGGATCATTCAAGTCAATCTATCAAGTATTGGCGTCAATGTGAGATTGGTTTGTTAAGGTTAACCTCAAGTAAATACACGCATGACGATTTCGGGTCATGACTGCTTGAACCTGGCATAGTGCTTGCTCGCAAATTGACTGATCCTGAGAAGCGCCGTGTAAGCTAACCTGAACGGTGTCCGTTATGCAAAAATGCTTTCGTTTTCCATCAAAAACTATTCGTTATATGTTGGGTAATGAAATACAAACGGTAAACGCTGGAAAATTGGTTTTTACTTTAACATGCCTTTTTCTGATAGAGAGTAGCAGATTCCTTTTTTCTGTTGCTCACTCCAACGCAAGCTGACGGAGCAAACATTACCAAGATGCATCGCACTTGCTACATGCGCGCTCATTGATTGATGTCTTATTGCAAGAAGAAGGCATCTTGCTTGCAGCAATCGAGATGGGCCGTAGTGTACGGACTTTTGATGACGGACGGACTGCATCATACAGGCCAGTCTAACTTGATCACTATTAATTAGCACAGGCAGTTCCATTGTCTTCGGTCATCAAACATTTTATATTTGGTCCTGATGGCAATAGCAAGAGAACCATATTTGGTTATTGTGTTCCCGATATTCCGGATTCTGCTGATCACGACGCACAAACGCATGACCGAAAGCAGTAGTGCTACGTCCGCGAAGCACTCTCTCTGGATCATGTTATTGCCAAATCCTTGACAAGAGTTCCGTCATCACCTAACTACAAGGGCAGCGGTCCAATATTGATGAGAGTAGTGTTACACTCGGAGAGAATGACGCAAATTCCATTGGATAACTGGTCGAATTTCCATACCAAGTTGCCAGTCGAGATCCAGCTAACTACAGCAAGCGCATGGCCACGAGTGGTCGGCAATTCAATGGAACTTGCAGACATGGTAAATTCCTTGTCCCCACACTTCTGCGAATAAATCGACACAACAGCACCCACAGCACACAACAAGACGGGGCAAATCACAAGTGAAGCTTCCTAGCTAGATCACTCTGCGGAGGCATGTAGTTTGACTAAAATTCATAAACCGATAAATAACCGAAAAACGAGTAAAGGCCATCTATCTAATGGTCGGCTTTAAAACAGGCGAAGATACGCTATCAATCAACCCACTCCTAACAACCAAAACACTATCCTGTTTGTGTGCAAACACCAAAGGCGTTCTTAGTAAGTTGGCAGAACTTAGAGAACTCGATGTTTCAAAACCGCGTGACGTTGTGCTTGCAGAGAACTGGATTTACTATTAGATGAAGGCCACTTGGATCAATTTATCATGTATGCCGATGCTTCGTAACGAGAGAACTGGAAGTGATGGTGATTAATACTCTATTATAAGGCAAACCTCTGAGCTGAGCTTACCAAACATAAGATTATCCGCATTCTAGTTCACTTTGGTGCATGCTGATTTTGAGAAACACGGATACATGTCTATTAGAAGTAAATTATCGCCCACTAAACTTCACTTAAGTAATGGACTCCAAACTGGACCACGTTTATCAGGTTGTTCTGAACAAGTCCTACAGCCACATTCTTTTCACTGGAGGCTTTAATGTGCTCGACGTGAAAACGCCAGCAACCGCTGATGTACAGTTTAAAGCCTGTTGGTAAGCCCTAATTTCAAACTACCATCTTTACAACTGGCTAGCCTCTTCTACCAGATTTCGTACTGTTAACAAGCCGTGGATAGTGGATCTTGTGCTCACCAAAGAAGAACTGTTGGTCGGCGGGATAATTACAAACACGTCACTGGCACGTGGTGACTATTTTACTCTACTGTCTTACTGCATATGAAACGCGGAATATGCTGAAAAGGAGAAAGATGAGTTATATACTGCCACGCACTACAACGTGTTAATCAAACTTGAAAATTCTCAATCGAATACCCCTAGACATCGCCTTGAAAACGTTCATAAAGACCTTTAGCACACTGTTAGCGCAAGCATAGGAACGGAAGTCATTCCATAGTAATAATCAAAACTGTCATTTCTACGTTACCGAACGCGTAAATGTATGTCCCTTAAGGATTCGACACTGCCAGCGCACAATACCTGCCCAAATGCCGACACCTGGATGAATACGTGTTACGTCGTACATTTGTGTGCAATTGATCTTAGAAGACAAACGGTCGCATCAGCTGGAGTTAATAAAGCGATACTAGATGAACTTCAAACTCCTAGAATTGCACGATGATGGTCTTCGTAAGAGGAAGCGTGGAATCGCAATACCGGTCACGGATGACTGGTGCACGCGGTCAGCAATGGAAGCAGCCCATGTTCTATTGCTTCGTTACTCACACGCTTTCAACAGATGACGAGCACAAATGTTCTCCTCGTTTCTGTTAATTCACCGTCAGGTTAACCCATGATCACCTTTGCTACAGTGGCTGTGCTAACGAAGTTTTTATACCTGCATGACCATAGTTTCCATGGAGTCGATAACATTCGACCTAAGGCTCTGGCAACAGCAGCTAGTGATCTAATAAAACAACTGGCATTCAAGCAATGATGTCTAGAAGAAAATCTCATTCCACCAGTATGGAGGCGATCGGTCTTCAATCCTATTAATAAGGGAAGTAGCCGTAGTGACCCTACCAATTACCGTTGAAAAATGCTTTCAAATTTATAGCATCCATCAATGCAGATGCAGGTATGCAGCAACATGGCTTCCGTAAAACAACACATGTACTACTGACATATTAATTGCACACAATAGCTGTATCATAGTAGTTGACGGTAGAGTAGGAGTCGAGGTCATCTAGCTGGACTTCCCAAAAGTGTTGGATCGCTTAGACTATTGACTTTTCCCTCATAAACTTCGGATATACAGCACTGTCCACCCAATCTTGAGTGGGATAAACAGTTTCTTACCCGAACGTCGGTTGAATGGGAGAGTTCGGGAATCTCTGTCAGATGCAGTTGATGTGGAGTGCTGTGTACCAAAAGGCCCGGTGTTATGGCCTCCCCTATTCTTGCTGTTCATAATCAATCTAGCGTGATCAATTAGTCTCGCTTTCATATTTTTCCAAGATGATATCAAGATACGTCGAGCGAATAGATGACCGGATGATCACTCAATGTTCCACTATATTCTCAACATACCCTACCATTCAAGGTAGACAAAAGTCGCGGTGTGCAATTACGTCATGGACGTGGCTAAACGTATTTGCTTGGGGCACAAGCATTGCAGAACAGCTCCCAACAATTTAACGTTGGTGCGCTCGTGCAGCAAAAGCAACTGCTCGAAACAAATTGAGATAGCTGCGAAAAGCAGCAACTAACACCTCGTCCTGCTGGGGGGTGGATTCGGAAGATTTGATCCATTAATCTTCCCAATGACGCATAATACGTACATGCGCCCTCACACTTAATACGCCATTCAAACTTGGCAACCTTCGTGGAACCGCTAGATTCACTACGATGGAGAGAAATAAAGAATCCCAAGGACCTACGCAATCAATCTTACCAGCGAGGGCTGAAGTTGCTGGATGTTTTAAGCAGACGCTATCGAATGCTGCGAGGCAATCTCAGTGTATCAAACATCAACTGAACCCAAGGATGTATATCGCCAAGTGCTAACATTTAACAACAACACCAAGCTCAGAGGTAACTGTTTGGAAACTGAATGAGTAATACAGCCGATTAGAGCGTCGACGGAATTACATTTCCCTTCCAGTTTGCCAACCCTGTAGCACACACTCAAACACAGGTGCATCCTTCAATACTCTGGACATTTTCGAAAAACGATTAGATTTTGTTCTTGGCCCCTAGCACCTGGTTGCTTAAACTATGCCATTGTGGATTACATTAATCATGTCCTTCTTTCGGATTTGGGTGTCACATGAACTCAAGGAGCCGGCGCATAAGTGAGCCAGCCTATTTTACTTCTCTCGTGCTTTACGTCAATGATCACTGCACACTGTATATTTTTGTATGCCTGCGTCCGTGTTGTATTTTACCCTAGGGTTATTTATCTAGGCACGAATTATCGTTGCATCATCTTGCTGATTTGAGTGGGCAAGGTGATTGCGCGAATCTTACTCAACCGCCTCCACTGTCAGATTGTGGAACATAACGGGGCGGAAGAGCAATGTGGGTTGCTTTCGGGTCGCAGCACCATGGATATGGTGTTGGCGGCTCGTCATTTGCAGGAGAAATGTAGAGAACGACACCCGCTGTTGTGCTGAC